TTCATCTGGCAGTTGTCTGCTGCTGAATGGCAGAAGTGCCATCCTGCAGGTGAGTCGATAGATGGCCTCATAAGATCACGGACTGCCATTCTTCAGTAACTTGGAATTATGAAAATCCTGCTTCTGGCACTGCTTGAACGTGCTTAAGCTTATATAGGTAGGCATCATGGGCTACAGTGTACAACTTTACACCTTCACTAATTTCATCCTCACTCCAGCAAGACCTGTTATTGCACTGGCACAGTTGGTGGACCCCTATTATTTTCTCCCAGGTTCAATGTCAAAGGCCAAAGAGTGAAAAAGTCAACCTATTTTGGAGGATGATGGGTCAGTTAGGTTAGAAAAGGGTCACAGCCAAAGGCCATGATTATTTTCTAACCAACTGACCCATCCTTCTCCAAAATAGGTTGACTTTCTCATGCTTTTGGCCCAACATAGAAGGAATACAGCTCCCTTGGTATGTGTTTATAGTTAGTTCTCATGCGGTGTGCTTGGGTTTAGTGAAAACCTAAAAGAGCTGATGAAACGTTAGTCAGAGTATTGAGCCCGCAAGGCCTGCATATTATGGCAGTTGCATTTGACAAGTACTCAAACATAATATCTAATTTCCATTATTTTGGCATTCATATTGTTGACAAAATGCCGAAACAGTGTGTTTTGTGATTGTTGTTATTTTAGATTTTACTTTCATTCGTTGCAATGAGATTCTAAAAGAAATCCATAAGGGTGTAAAGTTGTACACTGTCCCTGGCTTCATGTATCATGTATCACCTTCCCAATCTCAGATGAGATAAACCAGAAAGGTGATTGTGTGGGGAAGTGATAAGGGGGAGGGGAATGTCTCCTATACACAAGACAGGAAACTCCTTCTGGTTTGGGGACTGGTTCCCTCCAGGGCCAGTGACAGATTTTCCTTAGTTACAGTTGGTAGAGTTCAATGGTGAACAACAAAGTTAGGTCTCTTGTGAGTGGGGATTGCCGGTGACAATTGAAACCTGTGCATCCTGAAAATAGGATAGAAGTAATGAAGGTGAGGTTCATATGCAGTGTTCACAGGAATTGACAGTGTGCCCAAGATGAAGGAATGGTCTGGTACTCTTGGTAGAGCAAAATGTACAAGCTTTACTTAATTCCTGGGGCAATACTTGGTTTAGAAGGGGAAGCTCTATTTACTTTATGGTAAGGATAGTAAATTCGTCCAAGAGATGGTATCTTTAGACTTGTATCTATGGGACAGTTTTGGGAAAGTAGGGTTCCCTGTGATATAAGTTGAGAAGGCCCACAAAACTGTTGTCTTCCTGACAACTGGGATCCACGTGGATATGAGGAGTGAAGGAATGTAAAACAGCAAAAAACAGGTAACACTCACAGCCAATCACTCCAATACAGGAGTGAAGCCAATGTTTCTTTAATTGCAAAGCCTCCCTTCAGGAAATTATGGATTTTCAAGCTTCAAACGGGAAAGCATTTTCCCCAAACTTTGAAGATCCATTATTCTTTGAATAATAGGTTTTATGCCTCTGAAATATTGGTTTTACCCCTTTATTAAAGGGACTGGTTATGAGTTTTCTGTTTTTCTGTCATTCTACAGTTCCCTGTTTTCATGTGAGTGCACTAACACACTGGCACACAGGGCATGGTATGGCCAGTAATTTTTATTATGTATGTTCATGGCTTACAGGCATACAGGGTGTCCCATAAGTCACTATACTATTTCAAACTGTAATATTTTCCAAACTGCAAGATGCATGTCACTGTTGTTAGTATTGATGGAAAGAACGATCTTTATAATTATTTTCATGATAATGACTTTGAAATGGACTCAAACAGAAATAGCTCAAATGCCTATTAGAAAGGTATAATTTTTTAAGGAATGGTATAATTTTTTTGTTCACTTTGTTGAATCCTTTTTGGTTAAATTGCCAAACTTTATGTTTTTCCCTCCTAAATTTGCTACAGACTTGAGAAACATAAAGTATTATTTCATGAAATTTGATGTCGCTGTCATGAGATTTCATTGTTAATTCCTTCAAAATTGATGCTGGAGCAATGAAGAAAATCTGCAACCTGGATGGATGTTTTTAAGAGTCCTCATCAGAGTTCAAAGGGAGTTTCAGCAATAGTTTGGTGCTGAGCCTCATGTCAAATGCATCAATTTATGCGGAGGACATTTTGAGGCACTTGCAAAACTCAGAAAGAACTCCATTTTTACAAAAGATAATTCCAAATAACATACTATCCTTTAGTTAAATCTTTTTCGCATCAACTGTTTGGTTAATGTGATTTTTTGCAATGGTATAGTGACTTATGGCACATCCTGTATGTTAACACACCCAGCTATTGTATGTCTTGTGAACACCATGTACACCATGAGTTCGTTATTTGAACATGCACCATAAGCCTATGTGTACACCTACCAAAGGCTCATGTGTATACCTATTGTATGGTGACATGAACATACTGCTGCTCTCCCTTCCCCATATATTTCTTATGCAGATGACATGAATGGCTTGCTGTAATCCCTTGTCTGTCTGTTTTTTTGGTGTTTCTGTGCATCTGCATTGAGCACACTTATGTTATCCCTGCAATCCCTTCCTGCTCCTGCTGCAATTTGCCTATCTCTTCTTGATGGCAGTACAACTTGTGTTGATGGAAGCATATGGCCCACTGGTAAAAATTATTCTATAAATTCCCTTATGCCAAATGCACACAATACCTTTCTTCTTCTCTAGTCATGGCTTTATCCCATGACCAAAAGAACCACTTTAGTGGATGGCATCCCTACCTGAAGTCAATTGAAATGCTGTAGGGGTGAGAATTCAATCCAAAAACAGTACACAACTCTGAAAATCCATTCCAGAAATGGCTTTCCTAAATTATGTAAGTTCCTCTGAGCAAGCTCCCCCTTGTTGTGACTGCCTTGTCTGCACCAGTGGCAAGCATTGAAGTTTCACCAATTTATATATTTAGAAACTTGGTTGTTTCAATGTAGGCATCAAATATGTAGAATTACTTGATTGTAAAGTCAGCAGCCGAACAATCAAAGCCATTAGAATGTGGGTGAAAAGCTAGTTCATAGCTTCAATATGGCACTTCCTGCAAGAAATTGGCAAGCTGTTTAAGTTGTCCGAATTGAAGCTGGCAAATATATTTTAGGTCTCCACCCTTGTACTCTGACTAAGTATTGCTACCTTAGTGTTCACAAAACATGTAATAGCCACACACCCTTGGAGTGAGTTTACTCATGCAGAGAAGTTCAAATGTCAATTTCTCACATGAACCTGACCTGGACTGTTATCTTTTTATTAGGGATGTTACTGATGAGGAATTTTTACAGATATTTGATAAACCGATATTCATCAAGAGGATTCAATATATCCAATAATTTAATAAACCAATTATCATGAAAGTCTCACAGAGTCCAATTTTATTATCCCATGGAACTGGAAGGCATAATGATTGTGCTTATTTTGGGCTAATCTATATAGCTTTTGGAAAAGGAAGGGAAATTGTGTGGAGAGACCATCAGCAGTTGGAACAGTGAAAGTTGGAATAGCATTTCCTCTTGTGCCTAAACCAGAATTTGAGTCTGGTAGAGCTGCAGATGATTCACCCTCCCCCCCTCTCCACCCTCCCCCATCCTAGGTCATATTAAGACAAAATAATGTGGCCTAAATACTGAAACCTTCATTAGTTAACCGTCCTTTTTAAGGGACCATGGACTCCTTTGGGGGAAAAAGAGCTCTCTAGCTTAAAGGCCCTTCATGTTGTGAAAATGAGGTTTCAGCATTTAGCAATCAGAGCAACGAAAGTGCACACGAGCAAAACTTAGAATCATAGATGATACTGGTATGAGATTGCAGATTGTCCAAAGAAAGGAGACGCTCAGTTCGCAACTAAGAGAGTGAAAGTTTGCTTCAACGGGTTATGGGAAAAGGGAGCAGTAAGCATAGGAGTGGTAGCGGGAAGGAGGTTGAGATGCATGTGAGTCTTGGGTGAGGCCATCCTGAGGAGACTGAGACATAGTAATGCAGGGTACATTTTTGCTCACTTGACCTAATTTGGCGTTCGTGCCAGATCATTGTGAAATTTGCCACAAGAATGATCGCACACACCTGGTGCTAGACTCAGCGAGCTGAAGTAACTATCACACATCCCTCGCTGTGCGTCTCTCCTGTGGTTTTCTGTTTCTTTGGATATCCCCACCTTCCACTCACCATTAGGCCAACTGCACCATTGTTGGAGAATGTGAAATATTTTTGAAAATGGAAGGCTTTTGGCCTTGGTATTTTTCTTCCAGAGCATCCCGTGCCAACCCTCTATTCTTGTTGGTCCAAGCATGAAGATGATGAGTTGTCATTTTAAATTTGCTTTCCAAAAAAAAAAAATATGTTTTATCGGTTTATCAGCTTACTGGTAGGTTAGTCACATTGGTTTTCCAATAAAACCAATATGGGCAATTTTCAGATTTTTATCAGCCCAATAAATTCTTTAATATCTCTAATTTGCATAGGACATGAGAGTACTTCTATGTAATAGAGGTTCCATCAATTTTTATGCTGGGGATACTGTTAATAAATGGTATTTTCCCCCATGATATGCCCAGCAACATGACCCAGACCAGTTCCAAATATAGGACTGCCATTCTGATCATGGCATGAAAAATAGATCAACCTGAACCTATGGGTTGGCGGTTCTCATCCTTATTACTGGCAGTTGTCAAGTATATTTTGTAGTTTGCCTATGAAAACTATAGTCAGATATGGGTATTTTTTTAGCATACAGAAGTATCTCAGACTGAGGTGGGTTTACTGCATGATACTCCTGATATTTCATGCTGATCATGGGGTTTCTGAGAATTATTGGCATCCTTGCTTCGGGTAGGCCTCATCTTAAGCTCAATCCAAGTCCTTTTAGAACAATCCACCCTGAGGGAAGTGACAATCTTTACAATGCAATTATTGTTCTTTTGTTCTCAGTTGCCAAATGCCAAAACTTATCCAAAGTTTCCAAAGTGCAAAAGATGACTTGAAAATTGATTGATTGTGCCACTTAGGTGACACTTTCTTGTACTAGTCAATGGTATCTCCTGCAAGACCCAGGACATCCTATCAACAAGTTTCTCATCTTCATGGTATCTTTGGTTACTGTGGTCTCAGGTGTCTTCCCCTTTCCCTGTGAATGTGATCCAAATCTGCCTCGTCTTATTTCCTACTGGGCAAAATGAGGGTGAGGAAGAGCATATTGGTTGATTCCAGAGACTTGAGCTTACCAGGATATTTTTTGGCAAAACTTTTGAATTTTCCTTTGGAGAAAGTGCAAAGATTGTTGAATGGTACATCATAATTTCATATGACAAAAGCATTCAGATGAATATATTTTTAGCTCAGAGCATCATTGCCAAATGTAACAATAAAGAACAATAACACATTGACTGCCAGGATTTCCGACACGCTATGGATCTGTCAGCCACATGTGGATGACATGGCAGTCAGTGTGTTAAATGTCCTTTACCAGTTGCAACATTAGATGTAACATCATATGAAGAGTGAAATGAAGTTTTTTTCATTGGGGAAGACATGAGGACACTCCTATTATAACTCAAGGTTTCTGAATAGTGCTAATGATTTTCATGGAATGGGAACTTGGCTATTTTTCACTCTAATTCTGAAGTTCTAACTTGACTCAAAATGCCTTAATGAATACTTGTATACAAGGTGTTGATAAAGTCTTTGACAAATTTGAAAATTAATAACTTTTTTCCTTTAGAAGATAGAACAAAATAGTGAACTGCTTCACAGAGCTTAACTCTGAGTTTTTTTTTAAATGAATCCTTAGACTTCCACATATCTGCCATCTTGAGCTATACAGTGTTCAATCCTAGATTGCACCAATGCAAACACATTCTCAAGCTGTTGCTGTGTGATGTTACTGATAGCTGTTTCAATTCAAACTCTGAGCTCTGAAAAAGATAGTTTTTGTTTTTTTGGCATAAACTGCACTCTTCACATGTCCCCATAAAAAAGTCTAAAGGAGTAAGATCAGGTGAGTGTGGTGGCCATGGAAATTATCCACTTCTTCCAATCCACTTGCCTGAAGAGATCTCATTCAAAAGCTCCTGAACAATCCTTGTATAGTGGCACAGGGCTCCATCTTGTTCAAAATTTGTTCGCTTTCTTAGATTTGAGGCCATGAGAAGAGGGATAAATGTCTTGGAACATTGGAAGCTGCATTCAGTCACCTTCTCAAAGAAGAAAGGTCCAATTAAACCCATGTCTTTCAAAGGGCTCACCACACATCTTGAGAGAATCTCTCTCATGCTACCAAACTTCATTTAATTTTTCATTTTCCCAGATGTGGCAATTGTGATGGTTGACTTGCCATTCAGATAAAATGTAGCTTCATCTGAAAATGTCAACTTTTCCAATAATTCATTAAATTCTAAGCTTTTCCGTTGAAATTGGTGCCAGAACCCCAGCCTAGTATCATATCATCCTTCAGATCTGAACAACCTGAATTTTGTAGATATGTACTCCCTGCATCACTTTAAAAAATTTAAAAACACTTTCAGGCCTTTCAGTTCTAGAAGGGTTAGAAATCTGAAACTTGGTACACATGTACCTTTTGGGATGCAGAGTTCAGAAAAAATCCAACTTTGGAGGTACATGCCCTGGGGGTACAAATTTTGGGGGGAAACGTTTTTCTCAAATATATTTTGTGACAGATGAGGATGGCATTCAGAGTCAACTGGATGTCCTGGGTTCGGTGGTGTAGTAGTTTCATCTCTGACTGGCAATCAGAAGGTTCTGGTTCAATTCCCGGCCATTCCTTGGCCGTATTTTGGCTTCTTTTGCCTTTCATGTCCTGTTACTCATTCCCCCCCATAACATTATTTTTGCTTGAGTAAAACGGAGAGACATGGAAAGCTAAAACTTGGTATGGTCATCAATTAAACTGATGAACATTGAAAGCTGAAACTTTGCATGAATGAGACAAAGAGTTAAAGAGACAAAGAGACTGTACTGAGACATTGTACTGAGACAAAGAGTTAAATAAAAATGCTAAGTCTCGATACATTACCTGGGGGAATTTTTTTGAGGGGCAATGTTTTGAAAAAAAAGTGTTGTGGTGAATTGGACAGAAATGGAAAGGTGAAACTTGGCACACGTATAAGTGACATGATATTAGTGAGCTGAGGGAGTATTCAGCTTTNCAAAGCACTCCCAGTCAGATGTAGGGGCAACAAACAGAACAGTTCTACCATGTTTCATCATACAACAGTTACATAATAGCTATGAGCAACTTATCCATCTTTGAGACAGAGACAGAAAATTTAAACTTCCCTGAGAAATACCTGTTTGATGGCTGAGTATAGGAAAAATCCTAATTTTGAAATGTCTCCTTAGTGTAGATTATTGGAGGGAAATATTTCAAAATGTATTCTCCACCCTTACAAAAAAGGACACAATAAAAGATTTCAAGTTAGGTACATTAGATATAAAAGTAATGATTTTGATAAAAATCAAGACTTTCGTCCCCAAAAGTCACATATTTCAATGGGGAAGTACTTTAAATACGTGTTTCCCATTTTGCAAAAAATGAATGAATTAATCACTATCGTAATAGAGTGCCAAAGGCGCGACTAGTGACTAGCGAGTATGTAATCTAATACAACTCCCCAGTCTTATAGGAGATGGTTGAAAAGATAAAAACTTTTAGCACTCTGAACCCTGCAGCCATCATATGACATCCTACACCCATAGTGCATTCAAATTGCCAGGGCCCAAAGTGTTAACAGGAAGATTTAGTTCAAGTGTGACATTCCTGTATTGAATTTTTGGTAACAGACAAAATTTTGGTGTTTATATCTCTGCTAGTTAAACGCTCTTCAGCAATTTGAATCTCACGAAGGACCTTCTAGGGTCTCTGTTTAAGAGGAATGTAAGGAAGATGCAGGCCACTGGAAGTATGACATGCTTTTAATGATATATTTTTTGGTATTTTTGTGTCTAAGCTCAATTATTGGATCCTAAATTGCAGATGGGGCGTGTTCGACCTTCTCGTTGCCTAGTTTACTGTGTCTTCATTGGCATCTTTGCCATCGGCATTCTCACCTGCTACAGGTTACATGTGGAAACATCTTTTCATGCCTTTTCATTCAAGTGTCAGAATCAAAGGGAGGTGGAAACATCATCAGTTTCTGATTGTTTTACAGATGGTACACCATGGAGTACCTGAGTTATGATCAGGGGATTCTGCAGTGGCATATGGAATCTGCTATCATGCAAGAGAGGTATTTGTTCCATGATTCAAATTCACAGCCAAATACTCTCTTGATGAGCCGTAAGTAATTTCAGACTTTTTGTGCACATTGTTGTTGATGTGCACCATGCACACGGCCGTAGGTATTACCTCTCATACACATGCATGATGTCTTGAAATTCACAGGATAATTCACTAATTCCTGTTTCATCACATGATCACTTGGCACTATAGATATGAGATCTAAGATACCACCTATATATTAGTCCTTGGTGATGATAATGTCAATGTTCTATTATGGGTCTACATGCACAAAGAACCCAGTGCCAATGCAGTTCAGAAGAGCCTTGCTGTGCTCTTGTGATAATAGAAGAAACTGCTTTGCATATCTATATGATTAGTGTGAAGACATATCAGCATGGCTATTTATTGTAAAAGTGGTCAGTGTCAACTCTCATTCACGAAGGGAATGATCATGGGCCTGTAATGTTCACAAATGTGATGGCTATTATATGGACAGACCAAGGACTGTAAAGCATCATGAGTTCACATTTCATTGAGATGGTTATTAACCCTTTAGGAGGGAACTCTCTGACCCCTTATATTTTTCATGCTGGGAAGATTTTTTTTGTGCAAAATTTCATATTGGCAACTCTTTCAAGTTTTTTAAATCAATGATGTCATTTGACTTGCTTGAGTTGACCAACTGTCCAACAGATGGCAGAAAGACCACAGTTTATAAACCACCCAGCTATATCCACACTTTCCATTTTTAAAATGGCATGATGCAGAAATATCAGTGTTTTCCATTGTAGGAAGGTTAATGCATTGCTGATAAATCCACACTCCCCATTGAAAGGGTTAATATGCACTAGCTATTAAAATAAAAACATTGTGAGTGCTGCAAAAGAGAATACATCAAGGCAGGAATGGAATAATATTATTTCTGTCCTCCCAGCCATAAGGAAGAAAATTTCCTTCAACTGTGTTGCTTGCCTGACAACTCATAACCTATGCCATCTCTTTGCCCTGACAATGTGTTCTTCATCACAATGCATATTTAGTTATACAGGGGGCCTTAGCTACCAAATCATCTGCGAAGCTAGAAGAATTAAACATTCCCAGACTCATGAGCTGTGACTGAAGTGCAATGTGTCATCTGTGTTCTTCCAGTTTCACTCAGCTGTGCCTACTGCATCAAAATGAAGTCTTGATCAGATTCCAGGTGTATAATTCTATAATTCTTTCCCTCCCATGCTGCTGAACTAGTTGAAGAGGGATAAGTGGGACACCCACCCTAAGGTTGATCCTGGCTTCTATCTCCAATGTGTTTCTCTGTATTTCCCATAGGGGAGGGGAGCAAAAATAATGCACTGCTCATTGAAATTTTGCAGTGCTCATGAAAGTGCAGCTAACTTGATAGCTTTTTTTGCACTTAACTTTTTTGTATCTAAAAATATCTGAGAATTGCCACTTCAGCAATTTTACTAAAGCAATTGTAGTTTAATTTTTGTTTGCTAACCTGAAGACCTACCCTCTGACTTGTAATCAATATTCTTTTCGAGCCTTTTTCCCTCTGCACTCCAGAAACTGCTGAGTGGATCTCTGACTTACTCCTATGTCTCTTGCAATTTGTCACTGTGACTAACTTGACCCTGCATTATCATGAAAAGAAATTAGTTTCTTCCATATGAACATTTTTTGTTAATATCAAGATGAGTTTGATCTATTGCTCCTTCTCTTTCTCTCAAATGAACCAGTTTCTTGCAGCTTTTGAGTCAATCACTTTATAGTACATTTTTCCCATCATTTGACAGAAATCCTTTTGCAGTTCTTGCTCTCCCCAACTCTTTCACAGAGAGTAAAAATTCCACAGAGACCAAGAAGCACTGGCATGGAAGGGGAATGAACCCCATGTGCCATCCACCTTCTAGTCAAAACTTCTGTGCAAAAAAAAATATATATATATTGGAAATTTACTTGTGATAAAACAAGTAGAGAGAAATGGATGAAAATATTAGGATGTTAAAGGAAATGTAGAAGTAGCATTTAAAAATAAATTATTCTGCTAAATGCTGTCTAATCAGCACCAAAGAACTTCAAAAAGCAGTGCAAATTTTTTGCCTCACCTGACATAACTGTCTTCTCTTTCTAACCAGCCTACTAGCCCTCTAATCTCAGAGTACAGAATAGCCCTATCAGGAAACTTTTACTGGGTACAGAGAAAAAAATACACTGTTGTTGGCATATTGATTTCCGAAAATTGGCAAAAGCTATAGCTTTACATTTTCCAATAGATGTCCATCCATGTTTTGTTGCTGGTATACTTCCTTTTCAGAATTTTACCTCTGTTGGTTTAACCCCACAAGCCCTTTGAAGTAGGGTAGCAAAATATTTGAATGCCCCCAACAGATCAAGGAGACTCACTGAAATTGATGTATGATGGGCTGTTGCACCAGGATGACAGCATTGAGCCATATTTTCTACTGAAGAATTGCTCTATTAATTATGTCTATGCACACCTTCATCCAGAAAACCTGTGTAAATGCACTCTATCTGCTTTACACAACACCTTGATAACAAATGGTACAATAAACAAGTATGTGTGGAGACAATCAAGTATACTGGCTTCCTGCTTTCAGTGAGAAATCAACAAGGGTGGGGATTTCCTAATATTTTACTCATAATCTTCAAAGTGGCTAAACTAGGTGAGGGAAAATTTTTGAAAAATACTTTCTATGGAAGCCTAGGCATAGATACATATATCCTTAAGCAGAAGTAACTGTAGGAATAACCCATATCCTGATATAAAAATTCAAATAGTAATCTCCACACATTGTTAGTCAACTAATAAATTGAAAGGAAAGCATGAAAAGCACAAAACATGAAGGAGAAGCATAACATCACCATCCCATCAAGATAGCTCTGAATAGCTTGTCTGGTGAGGCCTCAATGCTGGAATCCTACCTCATGATGGAGGGCAAGTACAACTCACCTGTCTTTTATGTTGTATCTCTACTCCCAGCACTAGTCTTGTTTTTGTTCATTTGTAAGTGAAATTTGAAGATCCTCTCATATCATGTACTGTCTAAACAAGTCATGAAATTCATATCAGATATAACATGGGATCTACTATTACTCCATAAAATGTTGGACAAACACATCAAACATTCCATGTTTGACAGAGCCACTATGGTGAATTTATCATACAACATTATGGTGTGCATTAAAAGGACTTGGGGGATGGAGTTGGAGTACATTAATCATCAACAAAGACTTTGTTTTTATCTAACAAGCAAATCTGCCAGAAAAGCATGGATTGTTAAAGACATGTTTCTACTAAGTAAGATCATGTAGGGTGTCTCTTTGGTGTCATTATGGTAGTGGAAAATGATAAACTCATATATTCATTTCCTTCAAAAGTCATCATGAAGACACATAGTTGTTTTCACCAGATATATGTTAGTATGTGATGTCGTATTTGCTGCATAATACTGATGAATGTAAAAATGGGAAAAATTTTTTTGTAATTGTTGCAATTTTCTTTTCTTTCATGATTGAGAGTGGAGACACACATGCACATTACAATGAGGACTTTGTAACCTGGTGCAGATTTGAAATAGAACAATGTTCAGGCCAGGTATTTTTTTTGTAGCTGAACATCAAGCAAGTATGTATTGGATTGGGTTCTATGTGCTGATAGCTTAATGGTGTGGCAAATGCCTTCATAAGGGACTGTGCTCCCACAGGAAAGCTCCTTGAGGCATGACCCCAGTTTCATGGTCCAATCAGTCAGATGCAAACGTGTTTGACTGAGTTTCTCTGTGAAACTTTATTTTAGGTAATTTTTTATGTATTATTGGAAAAGTTGAACTTGCTCAAATTTTCTTCTGTCTCAAAGATGGATAAGTTGCTCATAGCTATTATGTAACTGTTGTATGATGAAACATGGTAGAACTGTTCTGTTTGTTGCCCCTACATCTGACTGGGAGTGCTTTGGTGGTGGTTGATCCATATTAGTCAAGGGCAAAGCAATAAAAATTAAGCCATTTTCTGTTTTATTCCCTTAATAATGATGAAATTTTAACAGGTCAATCCCTCATAAAAGTTGGAACATATGACCTTGCAATATCCATTGGTTTCATAATTCCTCCTTCCTTGTGGATACATAGGCCTGATGTACATTTAGATCTCTGGGATGCAATAAACTCTTGAAAGTTCAGGTACAATGTGGGAATAATTACCAGGTGGAACCAGTACATGCCCTGTGCATTCAAGCAAACCCAGGAAAGTGGAGAAATGTAATCACTGATTATTTTGCCACTTGAACATGCCCATTGTATACCACATGGAAACTGGATAATGCCCTGAGTTCTATCTCTGAATAATTTGTATGAATCATGGCTCGTCAAGAAGTTGAATTGAATTAATCAAACTAAAACAGTAGAAAGAATCTGTGAAACGAGCTTTACTCATATGAATAAAGCTTCTTTCTTTTCTCTCTGACCCCATATTCAACTAGAAGCACAAGTTAATGTGTGGTTGAATGACTGCAGGGAGAGGGAGGTGAAGCCACGAGAAGGAATGCAGGCCTGCAAGCATCCTGATCTCCCTGTGCATGACCCCACCATCATGAAATTCTTCCAGACCAATTTCACCATCAGTTGTGATCAAAAGGACCCAGATTGGGTTGAGGTCAAAGGTCCTGTCATCTCCATTAGTGACAGTGCAGTTCGCATCCATGGTGACATCACTTGCAAAGCCAAAGGTTTGATTTCATTTTGTACATTTTTTAAGTGCCTCATGGAAGGAATTTATTCTTACAAAAACTTTGTGATTGATCTTCGTGATTCATTGACTGTGTAGAAAAGGTGACTCACTGAGTCATTGCAAGGGTAAGAGGGATTAACAGTCAGAAGGGGAGAACAAGGTGGCTCATGTAATCCTTAGTTTTGCTTTTTGTGGTAGTAACTATTAATATTTTCAGGAAATTTTCAGATTGTGCGGATTTTTGGCTTTGAATGTTCATATTAAAAAATGCTGGAAACTTTCAGACTGTAGCATGTCCCCAGGAAGCTGCAGGCTTTTGTCTGTAAGTAGTGAATATTGCAAAGCTGAACAAGGCTGTTTATGTAATAATTACACATTGACCTGCCAGTATTTGCATTCCTGATTTTATTTTATGGGGCTACTTTCCAGTTAACTGGTTAGAGTTACTTTTCCTAAAGTAATAGCCTACTGGAAACATGAAAAAAAATATTTTTTGTATTTGCTGGCATGTAGGCAAAAGTGCATGCATGCCATGAATTTTTGTTACTCTCTACTTGGAGTGGACTTTGACCTTTCCTAGGCAATTTTGGAATTACTGATGTATTGCAGTTCTAATTTCCAAGTCTAACATCTGAACTTCTTTTGGTTGGAGTGACCAGCCTTCTAATGGAAAACAAAGTGAGAGGGTTAGTTCCTAGATTTGTGCTCATAAATAAAATCCCCCATGTGGCATTTCATGCTTTCTAGGTGATAATTAGCCTATGCCATTCATGACTTTTCACCTTTCACATCAAAATCTTTGGAATTATTCTCATCCCTATACAACTACTGGAAGTTAGAAGAGTCATTTCATAGTATGGAGCAGACCCCTTCTATATGGTACCTTTGGTACCAAATTCCTGTCAGTCTGCCTGTCCTACATGATCTTTTGGGATTACTCTGCCTTAGTTTTACTTCTAGCTCTTCTTCCTTTTGTCTCAAGTTTGCCTTCATAAAAGCTATCATCTCCAGGACTGTCAGTTTAATCTCTTTCACTATACAAACCACCCATTCCTCACCCACTCACCTGAGTAGTCCAAGCAGTTGTATTGTCCTTTGCTACGACATTTTGTATAACCCCTTTCAGCCCTTTTCTTTCTGCACTTCATTTTTATATTTGCCTCAACTCTTAACCCTCACTTCTCTCACTTCACAGCACTCCTCTCACTTCTCTCACTTCACAGCTTTAAAATGAGGTATATTCTCTCTTGGATATTTTTTAGACCCAAATGCATTTCTGAGTTCTCTAATGAATAACAGCACTTTTAAGGTATCTTGAGAAACCTAAAAGAAAAATAATTTCCATGAAAACTAAAAAATTTTTTTTGAGGAGTGGGGTAAGAAAAGATCCCATAGAGGAAGCAAGGTTAAAGGATCCACATCCACAGGCATTGTCTTTCCCAGTTGAAACTATGCACCACTCTTCTCAGAAGTCCTTTTGCAAGAATCCACCTGTTGCTGGTGCAAAAAACATGTGGTACATTATCCTTACTTTTACGCCTGGACTTGATCCTGCCACTGAAAAAAGCTCTTTCATTTTCTTGCATAAATTGCCTCTCTACTACAACCCTTTACATTTCATCTTGCTTACATTCTCCCTCCCTAAATGTCACATCTTTAGTATTAACTTGAGATCCACCAGCATAAAATATATGGCCTATAAAATATTTGGCCAATCTTCCAGTCACAAATGACTGATCCTAGTATTGATTCTGAGTCATTTTAAACTCAATATACATTTTTCTTTGTTCTCTTAATGTTATTGCTAGATGTAGCTTCTCTTTGTCAGTCAATTCTAAAACTATTTATTTTAGAGAAAAAACATTTGACAAAGTTCAGAATAAGATTAAGTGCCATCTAGTTCAAGCCCGTCTTACCAGGATTAGAAAATAAAAGCAGAAAAGTGAAGAAGTAGGAAGGAAAAAGGAAATCATAATTTGTCATCAACAACTATCTTTCTGAGTATCAAATCACTGATCTACCAGATATGGCAAAGAATGATCCCTTATATGGAAAACTATGTTGTGTTCATGACGAATATATATTTGCCAACTTGCACAGAATATATAATTTTACACTGGGGTTCCCCTAGAATGGTCTCATTGTTACAGACTCATAGGAATGAAAAAAAAACCCATAACATTAGAACATAAAACTGGGGCATTATGAGTGTCTTGCTCTTATTTTTTGCTTGAGAGAGAGAGAGGAAAAAAAAAGAGCTTAATATGGTGCAGTTCTGGAAGGTTCATAAACTTCTGGTCTGTTCCAAGTTCTGTTTTGAATGCATCATAATAAATGACAAACCCTTTTCACACTTCCCCCTTCATGTTCCTCTTACCTACGTCCAAATGCACATTCATTGAGCACCAAACAGTTTGTGCCATCTCTGACTTGGAAGGGGTGAAGGTATGTTTCATCATTTGCAATATGACTTAATATAATATAATATACAGGGTGATTCAAAAGTCACCTACATTTTTTGTTTGTGCCATATATGATATCAATCTATTTTTCTGCTCCTCCTTAGCAGTTTGGTATAATATTTGTGTGGGGTGAAAGATACTTTGGAAGAAACGACCAAAAAAGAGTCATAATGTAACATTTCTTGACTCTTGGGTCACTACACCAAATCGACCAGAAGATGAGCTGAACCATTTTCAATTTTGACAAAAATTGCTATGCATGTCAAGGAATTGATTATAACATAAATGCAAAATTTTTTTATTATCTCACTCTGATCTCGAAACATATGCATTTGAGCGTCATCTTTTTTTGGCTCCTGATTCCTATGTGGACTGGAATTGCGAGACTATTTTTGCAATAACTTGTCTTCTATTTGAGACAAAAGCTTCATTATGGTGTCACTTTAATTGCAAAACTCCTGTCTTTAGATTGTTCCAAGACATTATTCTCCAATATAATCATTTGACATAAGGAACAATGCACAGATTGCTATGACTGGAACCAAGGGGATGTGCTCTGTTCTGTGCACTGTTCCTTCTGTCAAATGGTTATATCTCATGAGGCAATTGCATGTTAATATCAAATTTGGTATCATTAGATAGGGCATAGAATATACTTGGAATGAAGTATTGGAATCATGAATTCCAACAATGTCAAGTGAAGATATCGGCCATGGAACTTAATCAAACTGTTTGATTGAGTGGTAGTTCTTGTTTTAGCTTTGGAGAATAATGTCTTAGAACAGTCTAAAGACAGGAGTTTTGCAATTAAAGTGACACCATAATGAAGCTTTTGTCTCAAATAGAAGACAAGTTATTGCAAAAATAGTCTCACAATTCCAGTCCACAGGAATCAGGAGCCAAAAATAGGTGACACTCAAATGCATATATCTTGAGATCGGAGTGAGATAATAAAAAATTGGAATTTATGTTCTTATAATCAATTCCTCGACATGCATACCAATTTTTACAAAAGCAAAGATACCAAAGTATCTTTCGCCCCACACTAATATTATACCAAGCTGCTCAGGAGGAGCAGATGAATCTATTGATATCATATATTTCACAAACAAAAAATGTAGGTGACTTTTGAATCACCCTGTAGATGTAAATGTCAATAGATTTGGCACATGTTTGTACATGTTTATAGGTGTGCTGCACAATGGATTGCAATGTGGGCATTAGGCCTGTTGTGTTCAGGGGAGGAAATTTGTGTAGTCTCCATCTCTCATCTCATATGCACCTTTCACTCCTTTCTTGTGCATTAAAACTTGCACCTGAAAGATAATCCAGTTGACTCAAAATTCTCAAGAATATGTCAGCCAGTTGAGGAAGTAGGTCAGAAAAAAAAAAGAATTTAATAAAATAAATTTTTTCAGAATTGCTACGTGTGACTGATGACTTGAACAAGCTGGCAGAAGCAGTGGAGTTCATGCAATCCTACAAGCTGATGCAGTCAGATTTTGCTGAGATCACCTGTCTGGCCAAGGATGGCACCAAGTGGGTCCTATCCTCACTCAGAGTCACACCCCATATTCACCGTGTGACAAAAGTCAGGAAGCATAGGAAAATACCATGGGGATTATTTCCTGCCCAGATTACTTGTAATTATCATGCCATCCTCTATTGATGCTGTAATGCCAAGGTTATCTCAATCATAAAGTCCAGTCTGAGTGACCCAAATCTTCAAAAAGATAAAACCAAATTGAGTAATTGTCAGCTAAATTTTCTTTTAGTGCCCCAGGTTTATCAAAAACTGATTTGAGTGACTCAAATTGACCTGAATCCATTGAACCAACTTGAAGAAAAAGAACATCAGTAAATTGAGAAGTATTAAGCAGCTATTCATTATGATACCAGGAAGAATGGACCAAAAAAAAATAGTATCCTTTAAATTCCAGTGGATTTTTAAAATGACAAAATTTTTATATATTGGCTCCCTTTCTTGCATAGGTTTTCTAATTTGACTCTGCTAATTTTGATAAAGATGCATCTTCACTTTTGAATAATTATTCTCAAGTTTGATCAATGGATCATCTGGGTCACTCTAGGATGATTATGGGTGATTTTGTTGCTTTGGATTAGTTTTTGTAAACTTGGGACATTCTAGGACATTTAGGCTCATGTTTGGCCATTGGGTCTGTTATGACCACTCTGGGTCAGTTTAAGTCATTTGTGTTACATGAACCAGAATATAATTTTGGAATTCCAGTATCAACACAGGTTGGCTGGTTATTGATTAGGTAGTAAATGATCCCCTTGCTGTTATCCTTTGATTCCTGGCTTTTGTTACACCCTATACAGATGTAGTTGTTGGAGCAATATGATCTTGTATACATGAACTTTCTTTTTTTTTCATTTAATTGCTATAACAGATATGGGGGACTGAATCATCAATGCTCCTCAGCATCAGAGAAGGCCTAAATTACCCTCTTTCTATGTCATTCATTGTGCCAAATTACTGTATATGTTCTGGGTAAATGTAAAAAACCCTACCATTCCATCCCATCTTTTCAGCCATGCAGGTTGTGGGACTTCAAAAGGTTTTGAGGAGGCAACAGCATGTTTTGCAATAGACACAGCATTAGATGCTCTTTCCTCTTCTTTATCTTCTCTCAAAAAGTCCTGTAGCCCCATCTTCTCTGATTCACTAGGATTAAGAAACTTCTTTCCTTTTTCCTCGGTGTCCATGGCAGATTTTTCAATATTATACTCATAATGGAAAATAAATGCTGTAGGCTGCAATGGTGCACATTTTTTTCTGCTCCATAAACATCTAGAAAATGAGTGCCAGAAAAAAATATTTGGTTACTATTTTCTGTCACTGTGTGTACTATCCTGCCAACGGTTAGCCCCACCCATAGACATATGGTACATTCCAGTTGTTGAACAGTCAGAACGGAACATATGGTGCTGTTGTTCAGTGACATGAGTGACAGCTGAAACCCAGAGTGAAGGCAACCAGCATGTTGATGAGTATTCCATAGTGCTATGACATGCTCTATACTGTTAAGTAAGTCCAAAAATATCAGTAGTTCAGCTGACCTTTTATGCCAAGAGACACCCAACCACCTGGTCCTGTTATAATGCATGGGTTCCTGTTGTCCTGCATTCACACTGTTAACTGGCTTTTCCAACTAGAAGCAGGTCATATACTGTATACTTGCTGCCAGACAGTCATGTGATTACTGGAGCCACAGTGATGTTCTACCTTGACAACCCACAAAGATAAAGATTTTCCTGTTGAAGCCTATGTTCAGAAGAAAACTTAATTCTCAGTAGTACCACATTTGTTTTCTTCCCCTCTTAGACATCTATGGGAAAATGTCTGCAGGTTTTCTATTTGTGTGAAATTTTTTTACTCATAAGAGTATATTTAAAAGCTCTGAACTTTGTTTATTGACACAGATGGAAGAGCATTGTGGCTGGGATTCAGAAACAAGACATAAAGAAGGAAAAGATTGGCTGGCAGTATGCTTCCAGTGATGGCCTCCCACTGAATGTCCTTATCTGGGGATATGATTCCCTGTCAAGAAATACCTTCATCCGCAAGTTACCCCTGGCATATAAGTACCTGACAGAAACTTTGGAGGCCATCGTTCTCCATGGGTACAACATTGTTGGGGATGGGACTCCCCAGGCTCTCACTCCCATCCTTACTGGTATGCAAACTAACCTTTAGGAAGAACATTTCTCAAATAAGACAACGGTTAACAATAAAAGGGCAAGCAGTAAAGCATAAGTAAATTTATGTTTAGTTGAAAGCTTATATGTAATGCAGTAACTGGGAATAACAGATAGAAGGATCATTGTTTCATTTAAAAAGTTAAAACAGGCATGTTGATTATCTTAGTGTTTATTAAAGTTGCACAAGGTGGAAGGGATTTGCAGGTCGGACAGAGCTGGAGCTGCCAGATTGTAGGAAGCGTGTTGGAGAGAAAGCCCATCATGTAGATGTCTACCCTATGATATGGAAAGACTTCCGGCAGTATGGGTATGTCACTGGTGAGTTGTATCATCCTTTCCTTCCAATTCTTCTGGACAGTTCTCATTACCGGAAAATATCCTTTTTTTGATTGGTGGGCGTGTGTAGAAGACACTTTGAAAATGGGGACAGAAAGGGAAAACTGTGCATTTTTCTGAAAGTAATCTGGTGCTGTTAGCTTTGGGAAGATAGACTGGGTAGCAATGATGTTTTCATTGGCCTATCATAATTTTATTTTAATTTCCATCAGTTTTGAAAGCTAAAATTTTCATTTTCATCATATATTTGTCAAAGCAAAAATTATCTCAATTTTATTTTAGTCAGGGCTCCATAATTTTAGTCATTTTCGTCCACATTGTGACCTAATTTTTAAAAATTTTTTCTTGCACTAAATTTTCAACCAATTATGGTTTTAAAAAAATTTTTTCCAACAAAATGAAACTTATATTCAGTTTATTTCCATAAATGTATTATGTTATAGAGGAACTCTGCAGGAACCCTCTGAGAATCCAAAACCTTTTACAGAGATTTACTTGTGAAAATTTGCAAGTGTGAAGGGACTTGGAGATTCTGTTTCTGGATCAATAATTGCTTTCACTCATAAAAGGTAATCCTATCATATGCCTAGGTCTAACCTGAACCCATGAGAAATGATTGAAAACATGTAATGTTTGCCAATGAAATATTTTGGGATATTTTCAGATATCTAGGCATATGAAGTATAACTTAGCCAAGAAAGGATCCTGTCAGAACCAGAGAAAAGGAAGTAAGTCCAAGCCAACCATATATACCTGACCAAAAGGGTTTTGCACAGGATGAAAAAATAAAATCCACGAACATTGAAAGGAAGACCCTTCACATACAGGCTGCATGGATGAAAAATGTGAAATGTGAGCAAGACTACTGAGAGATACATGAACAGAAAAAATGTTTATGATTTAAATATTGTACAGTCAAACTCTGTTATAATGTCATCAAAGGGACCAGGTAAAAACCGTCATTATAATCGAGGTTCGTTATAACCGAGGTTACCTTTATTGGCATTCCGTTTTCCTGTTTTCAAAATTGATGCTATATATTAACGTTACAACTCCAGTTTACATTGGTCATACTGCACTAGCTTTAGTTTCAAGATTGACCCACTAATCGTGATGTTCGCACTTCTTTGGACCTTGAACTATTAGGTTGTTTCACATGAAATGTCCGATTTTGAAGATGAGATTTAAAAGGCTATATTTTTAACAAATAAAATTTCATTTAATCAAAACATGCTCTCACCACAGATCGATAAATTGAAGCAGCCCCTGGAAATTTGATCAAAATTGGTTTCAGCATAGCAAGGCTGTGAGAAATTTTAAATAAGAAATTGAAAATGGACAAGTTCTCGTAAGCACGGATGAAGCTGTCACGATTTTCCCAAATTGTGGAAACAGATGAACAGATGTCCATGTTCGCGCGCGACGTTAGCTTTACTTCGAGCTCTTTCTATCAATATTAAACTAACCAAGCACACTTTCCTTTCAATCGTGAAGGCTTGCCTCTTTCGTTTTCCATTGGCCATGTTGTCAACGAGGAATGCAAATGGCGAATGAAGACAAAGTGATCTTAGTTACTGGGGATTATCCCTCCCTAACATTGCTCCAGCCACACCCACATAACTCTCAAGGAATGCCGAATCCAGGAAATATTAAGTTATGGCTCGCCAACGCTAATTTTTTCCGATGACGGAAATTTCAGTTAAGAATGACGGATTAGGAACATGAACGTTGTCGATTTCTTCAGTGGGACCTTCAATGGACTTCGTTATAACCGAGGTAAAATGTAACGTGCCTTTTGGGCTCTACGCCGGGACCTGGCGCTTTCGTCGTTATAACCGAGGTTTCGTTATAACCGAGTTCGACTGTACAGTAGAACTCGGTTATAATGTCATCGAAGGGAACAGGAAAAAATCGTCGTTATAACCGAGGTTGCCTTTATTGGCATTCCGTTTTCCTGTTTTCAAAATAGATGCTATATAACGTTACAACTTCAGTGTACGCCGGTAATGCCACACTAACTTCAGTTTCAGGATTGACCCACTAAAATAGTTCAAGGATCCTTGGGATCCTTGAACTATTTTATACTTTAGCAAAACCTCGTCGACGTCATCTCGACAGCTCTACGAAGTTTCTTGTTTTGTGACATGTTCTCGTTAGCACGAATGAAGCCGTCACGATTTTCCCAAATTGTGGAAACAGATGAACAGATGTCCATGTTTTTCGAACGGGACTTTGTCTTTACTACAAGCACTTTCTAAGTTAATCGTGCACACTTTCTAAGTTAATCGTGCACACTTTCCTTTCAATCGTGAAGGCTTGCCTCTTTCGCTTTTACTGGCCATGTTGTCAACGAGAAATACAATGGCGACTGAAGATAAGATGATCTTGTTAGTTACTGGGGATTATCCTTCCCTCAACCTACTCCAGTCACACCTCCCAAGGAATGCCGATTCCAGAAAAGATAACGTTATGGCTCGCCAACGTTAATTTTTCCTATGATGGGAATTCCAGTTAAGAATGACGGATTAGGGACATCATCGTAGTCGATTTCGTCAGTGGGACCTTGAATGGACTTCGTTATAACCGAGGTTCTCGCTATAACCGAGGTAAAATGTAACGTGCCTTATGGGGTCTACGCCGGGACCTGGCGCTTTTCGTCGTTATAACCGAGTTTGGAGGCGGGAGTTGGAATTTCTTTAATTTTCCATATTTTGGCATATGAGGACAAAGGGTAGAAAGTCAGTCTCACTTGGAGAGGTTCAGAGCGAATGGGGAGGTGATCAACCCAGATATGTGGAACATGACCTCAGTCAGTCAGGATCACAGATCATTAGCCTCCTACTTTCATAAGAAAACTGGGGTGCTAAAATGATGGAAACTCTTGCTGTGCACTGATGAGACTCCCATCCTCTCAGTAGTGCCAGACATATTTTGCAAAGGATACAGGAAACAAAATCTGAAGCTTCTTGTTGTTTCAGAGGTTGTTGACCTATTGGATTAGTAGAATGGAGACTTGACACTTAAATTTCATTCACACTACTGCATTCCCAATATGAAATTCTTGGTTTAATTTGTCATGCTCTACATAGGTAATATAAAAAAATGTGTAAACATTCATGTGAATGACTTTGTTTTACTTCAGTTTTGCTAAATGCTTCTAAGGGGCTTTCCCCTCCGAACCTCCAAATGGCCCTTCTGGGGGGGTACATGACCACCAGAACCCCAGTGCACATGATGGACTCACTTCTCATGCCTGCTGAATTGGGAACAAGAACCATGGTAACTGGGAAGCTGCAGAATTTTCTCCACCTCTGGTCATTGATAATGGTCACATGTTCCAGCCTTACTGTGAAATTTTTTCCACACTTTCCCTGTCATGTTAAAAGTGATGGTACTAATCATATGCAACTGATTGCTGTAAGCAGCCCCTACCCTACATTGCATGTATTTGCTGATAGATTTCACCAGAGTTTGTTATTTCTGTCTTCAGAAATCTCATTGCAATTAGCTTCTTTGGCAAAACCTACTATCACATCTGCCATTATATATTTGGCTAGAACACATCATGTGCAGCCAGTGTCACCACCACAGGTTTGCAAGGGTTTTCAGAGATGCACGGGCGGGTGGGGTAGGCTCAACCCGCTTAGTCTGCTTGTATATCCTTCCTGGGAAATTCCGATTTGTTGCCTCAGGTTTGTGGGGGAAAACTTTTTTTTTCCTGCACTACACTACTATACATGAAGATTCACCAGCACACACCCTAAATCTACCTGAAAGGGCAGAATGTTACCAGCAAAACCACCTCTACCATAGGATTTTTCCTAGTTTCATTAAATATTCTGGTGTATGAGACTCAATGGAAGGATTTGCCTATAAACAAAAAGAAAATATGAGTTCCTCAATTTCCAGGATGTGTGTTCACCATTTTCCCTGAATGTTTCAATCAATCCCATACAACCAGCAATTAAATTCTGCCATTTATCTATCCCTCATGATTATAATAGTTGATCTGTAACTACAGGATTGACTGGAGGTAACTTGTTAATGCCCACAGGTGCTTGCTGAAGCCAAGAAGCACTCAAATCCATACCTCTACCGTAAGAAAGGAGGCGGAAGTGATAATTCTAAGGGAGATGTGCTCCAGACGTTGATGTGCATTCCAAAGCTTGGAGAGAGAAAAGCTGCAGATTTGCTCAAGACATTTGGATCCTTGCCTGGCATTGTCAGTGCATCTCAGACAGAGTTAGCTCGAGTCATTGGTCCAGCTCTTGCTGGATCTGTCAAGACTTGGCTTAATGGATCTAAGAGTTGATAATTGAAACCTTGTGAAACTTGATTAACCTTTTTATAATTTGCCATATTTGTGTTTTGCCTAGCACACTTCAAAAGATGGCAGTGAATGGAGATTGATGATGTGGATTTGACCTCATGCATGAAAAGGGAAAAGAAATGGAAAATAGACTCATTTTCATATAATTATTGAATAATATTTCTGCTCTTTACTTGATGTAATAATGGTGGTTCTACATTACTTGGGGGTGTTACAAATTTTCATTTGTGTTATGACATCTGGTATCTTTCTGGTTCCTTGAGTGGGAGTCTGTTCTTGAAATTCCAATTTATAACACCTCCCCCCCCCTACCCTCCATCTTCAACTATAAAGCTTGTTAACTCAACAGAAGTAAAAATAATGAATGCAGTTTGTTTCATCTGAAAGGCTAGAGTGAGACTATTGTTAATCTTAAATACATCATGTTAAAAATACTAAACTGCTTACCAAGGTCAAGTTGCAGGTGATTCCAATGTGGCTGGATCACATCACAGCTCAACACTTACTGGAAACAGTAAGTGTTCATCACAGGCATGTCAAATTGATCATATTTCCCTTCATGTCATGTCTTGAGATTGTGAAATGCAGATTTCATCATGCTTATGATTTATACCTATACCAGAGGAAACAAGATTCTTGTTTACCTGGCCATGGGCCTCTCTGCTGGTACAGCCAAAGTCAAATTACTTAGATAGGTGCCCCCTTTTTCTTGAGGTTGGGGGGCAAAGGCAAAGGTTTTCATTCTTTCTCAGGCTAAGATAGTAGAGAATTTATGAAGGTTCCCTTTCCTTTGGTTCATTTTGCCTCACCTGTCCATTGCGTTGGCATCCTTTAACCCTTTGGGTCAGAGTGGTTTCACAGTGTAACCACCTTTCATAGCATGGCTCTGGAAAGGAAGTTTCACTCTGAAATGACAATGGTCACACTATTGGTGCTCTTATCTAGTGGCAGAAACAGGAACAGCTTGGGTTTGATCCTACAGCTGACTGCAGAAATAATAGATATAGTATTAACAAATAATTTTTCAGTAATTTGTGACTCAAAAGGTTTACAGAAAATCAATTTACAGATGAAACCCATTCACAGGATGACTGTTTCATAGAAATGGGACCATTTTGCTGAATGAAAACTTTTGCATCAGTCCTGCTTTAGATAATATATGAGGGGGTTCAAAAATGTTCCAGCCTAAAGGAGAAGACAAACTCTGAAGAACACACATGTTATTTCATTTTTCAAAATAATCCCCTCAAACAGCAATGCACTTTAGCCAGTGCAATTCAAGCTTTTTAGTCCATAAAAAAAAATATTCTTCTTGGTCTTCAAGCCAACTTTCTACAGCCATCATGACATCATCACTACTGGGTTTCTTTCCACACTAATTTTCTTTCAAAAGAGGGAAAAGGTAAAAATCAGAGGGAGCCAGATCTAGCAAATGAGGATGGGGAAGCAATTCAAAGCCACATTGGTGGAGAGCAGTGTCTGTAACTCAAGAAGCATGAGCTGGTGTATTGTCCTAGAGAACAAGCACACCCTGGCGAAGTTTCCCTTGGTGCTTCTTCTTGATTGCTTCTCTCGGCTTCCAAAGCAGATTGACTTAATAATCACCTGTGATGGTCATTCCATGTTCCAGGCAGTCAATTAGCAGAATTCCCTTTGCATCTTGGAAGATAGAGGCCATGACCTTGAATTTTTGAGGAGGTGGTGAATCTGAGTTTTTCCACAAAAGACTTTGGTGTTTAGCTTCCAGATCAAAGTGATGAACCCATGTTTATCTTGGGTTACCACCCTAAAGAGAAAGTCAGCTGGATCTGCCTAGTAGCACTCAAGAATCTGCATTGAAACTTGCTGGCGATGCTGCTTCGGTTCTGAGGTCTACATTCTTGACACCCTTCTTGCAGACGCTTTCTTTATCTGGAGGTTGTTCTTTAATATAGATTCTACACTACCTATCTGCAGGGTCGTAGCAATGTGCCTAATGATCATTCACCTGTCTGCATAGACTATAGCCTCAGCACGGTCAACATTCTCATCAGAGATTGAAGTTGTTGGTCTGCCTGACCATGACTCACCATTTGTGCTCTGCCTGCCATGTTTGAATGTAGCAACCCAACTTTTCACTATACTGTCCCCTAAAAAAATCCCTATCTCAGTGTGGATTTCCTCTGCAGTTAAGTTCTTCAAATGCAAGAATTTAATCACTGCATGAAGCTCGATTTTTTCCATTTTTCAAAAAACATGAGAGTGACCTCACTTTCAATACCTGTGAAAAAGGAAAATACAAGTTGGTGACCAGACATTCAAGTTTTCCTCTTGAAATTGACTGAAGAATCTGAGGAAAAAGCAAAGTTGTGCTAACTGGTCATCTCTCTCAGGCTGGAAACTTTTTGAACGCCCCTCTTAAGCTTAGTTCTAGAATTTCCCATACATATGGCTTCAAGACTTCACATTTGGTTAAGTGCAACAGGAGTGGTGCCTTAAGTATAACATTCATGATTTCAAAATGTAGTCAACATAATTAATCTAGTTAAGAATTGTGTTTTAGAGACATAGATACCTCCACCACATATTCATGACAACATTAAGAACATTGTAAGGTGCAGTAAAGGCCTAGTCTCACTTTGGAAATGTAATAACTTTAAACCTTGCATCTGATTTCCAAAATGGAATCAGCAGGCATGGCTCAACACTTAGTTGCTTCCTACATTTCACTGCCATCAGTCCTTCTTGCAAATCCTTCCTTGTTGAAGATATGATCTTGCAATTCTGATGGGCATTCTACAAAATGTATTCCATCTGTGATAGTGATCACAGAGCACTTCCAATTAATGCTGTATATGAAACTGATCTCCCAGTGAATTGATTTTCTGCTAAATGTCCTGGTTTATTGTCCCAGCTCAATTCTTGGAAGAGCTAAGTGAGTGAAGGAAATTCTGTATAAGCTGTCCATCCAAAAAAATTAATGAAAAATAAGTGAATTCTTCATTCGTGGGGGGTGGGGGGAACAGACAAATCCGACTTTTTGCTACCCTCCCTTGCTCTCCCTTGGTGTGCTTATGAGTACTTGAAATAAGTAAAAAACATCATCAAAGCTAAGAATTTGGTTGCATGTATGTCTCTTGTTGAAGATGACATGACATGATGAAGATATTATAATGGCACTCCTTTTCATGACCATATTGGTGATGCCATGAAGTTTTGAAAGATGTGGACTTCCTTCATTCCTTATCTATTTCTGAAAGGCCTGCAAAAAATACAGTGAGTCCCATATGCTTCACTTGATTCAAATGTAATATCAGCAAAAGGAATCACACCAGCTCCACCTGGTTCCAAGAAAATAAGAGTTTTAAATGTTTAAAACAGCATGGAGAGAGGTTAATGCTGCTGATAGTGCTGTCACTGTTTGATGCTTGTCTGTTTCATGAAACTCTAGACCCGGCATCCAATACAGAGGACACGGGGAGGAAATGTCTTCCGCTTAGGATATGCCTGGTATCTTTAAAAATAAAAGATTTATTTTTACAGAAAATAACTTTAATCTTTTAGCTTCTAAAGAAAGAGTTTGTATGAATTGTAAAATTTCGAAAATTTTTGTCTCTTGGGCTCATGTTTTTCAATAAGGCTTTTCATGGGGGATTTTTCTGAGTAATTGCTAACAAGAGGAGACTTCACTGTGTGATGTTGGCATTATTTTGCTGGAGCTACTGAGACCATGCAATGTTGTCAATTATCTAGTTCTAAACGCTTGTTCTTATTTCACGAACATTTTCACACGTAAACATGAGACAATATTTGTGTACATTACATACTGCAAAGTTACGGCAATGCTACATAAAACTGCTGAAAATTCATGGAAGCTTTTCACCATGCATGTACACAGGGCCCCAAAGAGTTGAGGGCATTTTCAGAACCTATGAAGATGTAAATGAAATACGAGTATTATAGGACTATCAATGGCAGCAGCCTAGCGTCAGGGGGGACACATGCCTCCTCCCACATTTCAAGAAAATAAGCCAAAAAAAAAGAAGGAAAAGACCCATGAAGTGCATAACAGTATCCTCTAGATGTCGTACCCTCCAAATTTTTCCATCCATGCTACCACTATGAACAAAGGGAACCTTAATGGATCATGACAGTAAAATATAGGGAAAAAAACCTGAGACCTGATACTTTTACCCTTCAACTATTACCATGATTTTTTAACTTGAGTAATTTAGGAGATGGTGTTTTGTCCTAGGGGGCGTATTTCAAAGATCATTTGAGCTGAACTGTTGACATTTCAAGTATATCAGTTTTCACAAACCCCTGTATCCGTGTCATTTCGCCGCAAAATCACAATCAGTGGTGCAACCACCTTTGGACTACTTGACATGAACTTACCCTCACACTAGACAGTTTCAAAAATCTACCGTTCAGATTGATTTAACAGTAGCACCCTATGTGGAAATGTACTGCAAACTTGCATAACTACGAGGGTCACTCAATAAGTTATCTACCTGAATAAGAAAGAAACATCCGAGGGGGAAAATAACACTTTATTTTTCAATGTAGTCACCTTTTAACTCAACACACTTATTCCACTTTGATTCCAAGGATTTTATTCCCTGGGAATAGAAGTCAACTTCTTGTCCATCAAACCAATCAGAAACGGCAACTTTCAACTCTTCATTGCATGAAAATCTTTTTCCCTGCAAAAATTTTTTCAAGTGTTTGGACAGAAAATAGTCGCTAGGAGCCAGATCTGGGCTGTAGGGAGGATGGTTGAGCTCCTGAAAGCCACACTCCCTCACTGCTGCCTGAACTTTCCATGATTTGTGGACGGGCGCGTTGTCATGGAGAAGAAGGACCCCCCTTGACAACTTTCCTCTGCGTTTTTCCTTGATGGCATCATGTAAATTTTTCATGGTGGTAGCATAGAAATCGCCAGTGATTGTACACTTGTCTGGCATGAACTCAAGCAGCAGTAGTCCCTCGCTGTCCCAAAA